ATGGATGTCCCTACTCTAGGAGATGGACCTAGTTTGGACTTTCTTATGCAAGCCAGCCCTGTTGCCTCGCACACAGGAACACCCACCCCTTACCGCTGAAGAAGAGGATGCGATGATCTATGTGTCTCTCATAAACGGCGTCTACTTTGCGCAGCGTGGAAGGGAGGCCTCGCCAGAAGCCGCTGATCAAGGCTGGGCGCAGAGAAGTGAGGTGACGACCTTGAGTCAGGCGCCAGAAGTACTGACCTGCCATATGGGGTGGGGGGTGGGTAGGAAAAATACAACGTCACATCCCAGCTAGGAGAAGCAGCTTGATATCTCTTGGTCACTCTGCAACATGACAGAATGTTGCGAGCTGACCTACCACTATTCCAAGCACTCTGTCATAAACACACACCATTCTCACTGCTACAGATTGCGAGAGAGCAGGTATGATTTCCTCTGACATAACACACTGTCAGTTTGCATTTCTTAGTGCAGAAATTATTGATATGATGTGTAGAGATCTTTCCTATTCCAATTAATTCAAGAGGGTTCTGGAAGCTTCTGTGTGTGGCAGAAACAAGTAGAAGGTTCATGATGTTTGGGTTATTCCTTCTGAGAAGCTGAGTACCGCTGGCTTAAACTGGTTCTGTTATCTCTTCTGTCTGTCAGCGGTCTCAACCTGTGGGCCCCCAGATATTGTTGGACTACAACTCCCATCACCCCTGAGCTCTGGCCTTGCTAGCTAGGGGTGATGGGAGTTGTGGTCCAACAACATCTGGGGACCCACAGGTTGAGAAAGGCTGGTCTAAGTCATGCTGACTATAATAATAAGGCCAGAAGGAGAATGGGTTTCACTTTTCTCTTTCTACCTCTTTTCCTTTCTGGTGCGGTGTTCTGCATATAGTATGCTTAGTGTTAAGTTTTAGTCTTATTATAAGTTATTTACGTTTAAGTTAAGTCTGCTGCAACTGGACTTCTTATGGACAGTGCCAATCCTGAATGTATTGGATTTGTGACCATTATGTTCATTTGCCTTCAGTAGCAGTAAAGCTCTGCTGGATGAAATACAACTGCCTCTGGTCATGCAACGTGTTTAAGTTTTTACTCTGCTAACTATATGTTGGAGTTCTGCTCTGGATCATATTGAGTAGAATTACATGACATACAGTACACATCCTTACTGGGAGAAGAGTCTCTTGTTCCAACTCGATGATTCGATGTGCCCAGGGCAAGGAAAGGCACGACCCATCCATGCTTTTCATAAAGAGCAGGAGCATCAGAATGCACCTTGCATACATTGGTCCATTTAGCTTAGTTCCGCCTATCTCTGGGGTAGCCATAAAAGATGCCTTCCATATCATAGAATCGGAGAGCTGGAAGGGCCCATTTGCAAGGCCTGTTGTTGAGCTATTGGTCACACGCTCCCAGAAGTTGCAAAGGGCATGCCAAGTAAGACGGTGTTTCCCAACCGGTGTTCCGCGGCACACTAGTGTGCCGCCAGACGTTGCCTGGTGTGCCGCGGGAAAAATTGGCGGGGGGGAATAAAGGGGAAAAAAATTATTCCCCCACCGCCAGGCGTGGGGCTGGGGCGGGGGAAGCCCGAGCTTCCCCCTCCCCCAGAACGGGACCCAGAGCCATGCCGAAGCTGCGCGCAGCTTTGGCATCGCTCTGGGAGCTTGCGGGGCTGGGGGAGGAGGAAGCCCTCCGCCAGCCTCCAAACCATGTTGGGAGACAGCGGGATGGCGCGCTGCGCCTCTCCCGCTGTCCCCCGAGTTTGCGGGGCTGGCGATGGGGAGGAGCAGGCTTCTCCCCCCGCCAGCCTTCCAGCCAAGTCGGGGGGCAGCGGCAAGGGCGCGCTGTGCCTCTCCCGCTGTCCCCCGAGTTTGCGGGGCTGGCGATGGGGAGGAGCAGGCTTCTCCCCCCGCCAGCCTTCCAGCCAAGTCGGGGGGCAGCGGCAAGGGCGCGCTGTGCCTCTCCCGCTGTCCCCCGAGTTTGCAGGGCTGGCGATGGGGAGGAGCAGGCTTCTCCCCCCGCCAGCCTTCCAGCCAAGTCGGGGGGCAGCGGCAAGGGCGCGCTGCGCCTCTCCCGCTGTCCCCCGAGTTTGCGGGGCTGGCGATGGGGAGGAGCAGGCTTCTCCCCCCGCCAGCCTTCCAGCCAAGTCGGGGGGCAGCGGCAAGGGCGCGCTGTGCCTCTCCCGCTGTCCCCCGAGTTTGCGGGGCTGGCAATGGGGAGGAGCAGGCTTCTCCCCCCGCCAGCCTTCCAGCCAAGTCGGGGGGCAGCGGCAAGGGCGCGCTGTGCCTCTCCCGCTGTCCCCCGAGTTTGCGGGGCTGGCGATGGGGAGGAGCAGGCTTCTCCCCCCGCCAGCCTTCCAGCCAAGTCGGGGGGCAGCGGCAAGGGCGCGCTGCGTTTCTCCGCTGTCCCGGACGGCTTTCAAAAGCCTGCCTTCAAAAGCCATCCGGGACAGCGGAGAAACGCACTGCCTTTCTCCGCTCTCCCGGGAAGGCAGGCAGGGGGGAGCAAAGGCTTTCGCCCCCACCCGCCTTCAGAAGAGGTCAAGGACCTTCAAAAGCCATCCAGGACAGCGGAGAAATGCGCTGCCTTTCTCCGCTCTCCCGGGAAGGCAGGCAGGGGGGAGCAAAGACTTTCGCCCCCGCCCACCTTCAGAAGAGGTCCAGGACCTCTTCTGAAGGCGGGCGGGGGGCGAAAATCTTTGTCCCCCCTGCCTGCCTTCCCAGGGGCTTTTAAATCGCCCCGGACAGCGGAGAAGTCCTCCGCTGTCCCGGGCGATTTTAAAATGCCGCCCGCCAGCATTTTAAGATTGCCCCGGACAGCGGAGAAGTCCTCCGCTGTCCCGGGGTTTTTTAAAATGCTGGGGGTGGGAAGAAAAGCCCTTGTGTCCCCCCCCCAGCCTTCAGAAGAGGTCGGGGGACAGACTGTCCCCGGACCTGGTCTGAAGGCGGTTTCCCTAGGAACGCATTAATTGATTTTCAATGCATTCCTATGGGAAACCGTGCATCGCAAGACGAAAAACTCGCAAGACGAAGAGACTTGCGGAACGAATTAATTTCGTCTTGCGAGGCACCACTGTATCCGGAGAGGCGGCCTTCAGGCGAGTTTTAATTTTAATTTTCCTTCTCCCACTTAATGCCCCACGCTCGCCCGAGCAGCTTGCAGTCCTCGGTAACCACGGCGACCCGAGGGAGGGGAGGGAACAGGGAAGTCGAGGGCGGCGGCGAGCCGCGATGACGTCAGTGGGCCGCGCCGCCTCGCCCTGGCACGGTGTGAGAGCCCCGGCTAATGGTGCGAGCTTCAGAATAAGTGGGATCCGCGTGCGCGAGACCGAGATCGCGGGTAAGGAGCTCAGCCCTGGGCAGGAGGAAGCGGGGCCACGCGTGCGGGCCACATCCCCACAGAGAGCGAGCCTCCCCCGGCCCACCACTCCGGGCAGGTCCACTCGCATGAGGGGGCGGCGATGGCGACGGCCGGCAGCTTGCCTGCAATGCCATCCCTCGAGCAGGCGAGGAGCCCGGAGGCTACCAGATGCGAGTCCTCTTTCCCACCCTGCTCGGGAGTCCAGAGCACTTGGTCGCATTCAGGATCTAGAGTGGGGAAGCGGGGCTTGTGTCTGGGCTGGACACATTGGGCTGCCTGTGCCGCTCGACCTGCGGGGAGAAATCAGGGTGGGAGTCACGACCGTGAGGCAGGGCTGCCAAGTGTGGCAGAAGAGGACACGGCCGTCGCACCTGTCCTTAGGTAGGAGCTTCTTCCGTGTCGACCTGCTGCCCTAAAGTCTTGGCTTTTTTCTTGGCTTTTTGGCGGTTGGCACAGAAGGAAGGCAAGGGGGAGGGGAAAAAATTGAAACTTACACTTTCGTGCGTCCCTCCCGGCGTGACGCTGCGCGCTGACGTCACGGGGCTGTAATGGTGGTGTGCCTCGAGATTTTTTTCATGAAACAAGTGTGCCTTTGCCCAAAAAAGGTTGGGAAACACTGAAGTAAGAGATGGGGCAGACCCCCCAAAAGTAAAATTCATTGAAGGGGCCAGGCCCCCTCAAAGTTCCACGGCAGCCATACACACATGGCACAGGGCATGCTCACGTCATGCACGCGAGCTATGGAGCACTCGTGCAACACAGGAGCATGCCTGCCCCATAGTGTGCACAAGTAGGTAAGGTAAATGTAAAGGACCCCTGGGCAGTTAAGTCCAGTCAAAGGCAACTATGGGGTTGTGGCGCTCATCTCACTTTCAGGCCGAGGGAGCCGGCATTTGTCCGCAGACAGTTTTCCGGGTCATGTGGCCAGCATGACTAAACCGCTTCTGACGCAACGAGACACCATGACGGAAGCCAGAGCGCACAGAAACGCCATTTATCTTCCCGCCACAGTGGTACCTATTTATCTACTTGCACTGGTGTAAGGTTGGCAGGAGCAGGGACCGAGCAACGGGAGCTCACCCCATCACGGGGATTCAAACCGCTGACCTTCTGATCAGCAAGTCCTCAGCTCTGTGGTTTAACCCACAGCGCCACCCATGTCCCTTCAAAGGCCATACTCATTGGGGCTGTTGGGCACCGGAGTCCAGCAACATCACATTGGCTCCAGAGTTTGCTGACTAAGGTTGGCTCTCGAAGATTTCAGACAGGATTCTTTTCCTGCCGGCCCTGACGTTGCCAGGTTTTGAATTTGGGGCTTTCTTCTTCTTCTTTTGCATGCAAAGCAAGCGTGTTCTGATACCACTCAGCTACTGCTGGAAGAAATGGCTTCACAGAACAAGGTCACAGAAAACGCCACAGACCTTTGAAAAAGAACGTTTCACCTCTGATCTGAGTGACAGCGTCAATGTTGGAGGCGCAGCGATCGGGGAATTCCTTCCCAGACCTGAAACAAAGAAGCGGGGGAAAGGCAGAGATGTGACTCCTCAGTGCGGTGTTTTTAAGTTTATCTTCAAGGAGGAAAAGTTGGTCTCTCCTTATCCATTCATGTTCACATCCCTCCAGTGGGCAATAGGACCTCAAGGGGTATACATTGTTCTTCCCCGTTTTATCCTCACAATAACCCTCCAAGGGAGGTTAGGCTGACAGAAAGTGATCCCCACATGGAGGAAGCTATTTCACCCCGCACACTTAAATTTTTTTAAAAAAAATTCAGGCCCGGAAAGAATTTGGGGCAGTAAAAAGGGATGCAGCAACATCTTGATCTTCCAAACCGCAGAGCTATGAAAGGAATGCTGATCTACCCAAGTGAGTCGGTCAGTGAATCAATACAGCAGTTTTGAAGGGAAGAGGATAGATTTGCACCCTCCCACAGTCCAGATGTACTGATGACTCTGCCATGCCTGTTTACACCAAAGTTAGCAGTGACCATGGGGTCAACACAGGGGCTGCAGAGCATGTGCAAAAGGCATAAAGCTGCAATGGCACATATGGACAAAGCCAGAATTTGAAAGGTGCCCTTTTGATCATCTTCCCAGACTCCCGGTCTACTGAGAGGAGCCTAGGAAGTTGCCCATACACAGCACCATACTGTAGGAAACAAGAATTATTCGACTGGGGAAAGCTACAGACTATTAAGGTGATTTTCGAAACAAACAAACAAAAAAGTAAAAAGCCTGGGTCCGCTTTTGTTAATGGTTATGATTTTGAGCTGCATAAAACCCTCAGACAGGAGGAAGATTTATGATGCAGAATTCTCTGTTAACACAAGAAACGGGAAGATGCTTACACAATGAAAAACATTGCAATGCCTATTTTTATTTTTATATGCCATGTGCTCAACAGACAGCAGTCCGACATTTTACACAGTAAACCTAGTGGGCAGAGCAACAAATGTGAGTTTAACTTTTGTACAAAGGATTTGTGTGTGTGTGTGTGTACAGTGGAACCTCGGTTTTCTAACGTAATCCGTTCCAGAAGACCATTTGAGTTCCGAAACATTCGAAAACTCAATATGGAAGCTTCAAAACAGAAAAATTAACACGAAAAACCCAATACAGAAGCCACCTCGGAAGTTCGATTTCTGAAGCGCTATCAAAAATGGAAGCATTTACTTCTGGGTTTACGGCGTGAGGTTCCACTGTGTGTGTTGTGTGTGTGTGTGTGTGTGTGTGTCGCCAGCACAGCAGCTGAATTATTGTATGTGAATGAGGGCCAGAAATCAATTAGGGAGCTATACTTGGGTTGCAAGTTAGCCATACATGTTTTATATGTAGTTCATGTTGCTGAAATACAACTCAGTCCCTGCAAGCACGGCCAATGGCCAAGAATGATGGACACTGCAACTCAGCCACATCTGGGGGGGGGGCAAAGGCTCCCCACACCTGCTCTGTGCCATTATTTGCAGCATCACACTCGATACTGCAGATGTATAGCAGCTGGGAACAGCATCTCCGGCGTCGAGTGGGGTCCAGTGCATGCATATGCGGTAAAGAACCCTTTGTCTATCCCTTTCCCCAAGGTATGTGGTACAAAGGGCCCTTTCTAACCTGAGGGCAGGGAAGTCGTGCGGCAAGGAGAGAAGATCTGGGAGCAGCGAGGTTACCTCTGGCTTCTCCGTAGAATGAAGAACTCGACTTCCTGAAAGAGAGAAAGAAAGAGAAAGATAACATGGATGTGCAAACGTAAATACACAATTTGCTTGCTTGCTTATTTATTTCCCAGCACAATTCAAAGTGTTGGTGCTGACCTTTAAAGCCCTAAGCGGCCTCGGTCCAGTATATCTGAAGGAGCGTCTCCACCCCCATCGTTCTGCCTGGACACTGAGGTCCAGCGCCAAGGGCCTTCTGGCGGTTCCCTCGCTGTGAGAAGCCAAGTTACAGGGAACAAGGCAGAGGGCCTTCTCAGTTGTGGCACCCGCCCTGTGGATGCCCTCCCACCAGATGTCAAAGAGAACAACAACTACCAGACTTTTAGAAGATATCTGAAGGCAGCCCTGTTTAGGGAAGCTTTTAATGTTTGATGCATTGTTGTTGTTGTTTAGTCGTTTAGTCGTGTCCGACTCTTCGTGACCCCATGGACCAGAGCACGCCAGGCACCTCTGTCCTCCATTACCTCCCGCAGTTTGGTCAAACTCATGCTGGTAACCTCGAAAACACTATCCAACCATCTCGTCCTCTGTCGCCCCCTTCTCCTTGTGCCCTCCATCTTTCCCAGCATCAGTGTCTTCTCCAGGGAGTCTTCTCTTCTCATGAGGTGGCCAAAGTACTGGAGCCTCAGCTTCACGATCTGTCCTTCCAGTGAGCACTCAGGTCTGATTTCCTTAAGAATGGATGCATTTGATCTTCTTGCCGTCCATGGGACTCTCAAGAGTCTTCTCCAGCACCATAATTCAAAAGCATCAATTCTTCGGCGATCAGCCTTCTTTATGGTCCAGCTCTCACTTCCATACATCACTACTGGGAAGACCATGGCTTTAACTATACGGACCTTTGTTGGCAAGGTGACATCTCTACTTCTCAAGATGCTGTCTAGGCCTGTCATTGCCCTTCTCCCAAGAAGCAGGCGTCTTTTAATTTCGTGGCTGCTGTCACCATCTGCAGTGATCATGGAGCCCAAGAAAGTAAAATCTCTCCCTGCCTCCATTTCTTCCCCTTCTATTTGCCAGGAGGTGATGGTACCAGTGGCCATGATCTTCGTTTTTTTGATGTTGAGCTTCAGACCATATTTTGCGCTCTCCTCTTTCACCCTCATTAAAAGGTTCTTTAATTCCTCCTCACTTTCTCCCATCAAGGTTGTGTCATCTGCATTACTCTATTTTGTATTTTGTAATTTGATGCATTACTCTATTTTAATATTTTGTTGGAAGCCGCCCAGAGTGGCTAAGGAACCCCAGCCAGATGGGCGGGGTATAAATAATAAATTATTTTATTTTATTTATTTATTATGGCATCTTCTATCCCACCTTTACTCCAAGGGGGTCAGAGTGCCATGCACACACACCCAGCTCCATATGATCTTCATAACAACCCTGTGAGTTAGTTTGGGCTGAGTGCTGGCAGCTGGCCTGAGGGCACCCAGCGATCTTCATAGCCAAGCTTACCACTACACCAAACTGGAGTGAGGGGTATCTGGAGTGGGTAGCCCACATCCTGAGCTGCATGCAGGCCCTTGGCCTAATATCATGTGATCTGGCACCCTCCAGATATTTTGGACAACAAGTCCCATCAGCCAGCACAGCACTGGAAAACATGCAGAAACCTTTAGATCAAGCTTCCTCAACCTCGGCCCTCCAGATGTTTTGCGACTACAATTCCCATCATTCCTGACACTGATCCTGCTAGTTAGGGATCATGGGAGTTGTAGGCCAAAAACAACTGGAGGGCCGAGATTGAGGAAGCCTGCTTTAGAGGGCATCAGGTTGGCAAAGGTTGAATTCTGCAGTTCTGCGGAGCTTTAAATATCACCTGCTCTAGCACTGCTCATCATCGGCTATGGCTCGTGATTTGCTTATTTATTGTCCAAACTCAGACTGCTTTCAGTCTGCATCCCAAAATGTGAGGGATCGCTTTGTTTTGTTTGGGAATATAAGGCTGGTTGCAGCATTCACAGTTATGAATTTATCACAGACTGGTTTCAGAGGTGCTTTTACCAGGCACACCCAAAGCGCGTATTATCTGCTGGTACACAGCCCCATTCTGTAATAGCCAAAAAATTCGAAATGATGTTTAAAAGGATGTTATGCTGGAAAAATATGTGTCAAACTAATAAAAAAAATATTAAATAAAAAATAAAAATGGAAAGTGTAATGCTGGTGGACAACAAAAGAGGTTTAAAGACTCTCTCAAGGCAAATTTTAAAAAATGTAGTATAAACACCGACAACTAGGAAACACCGGCCTGTTAGTGCTCCAATTGGAAAACAGCCTTTACCAAAGGTGTCATGGGCTTTGAAGACGCTCAAACTCAGGACGCAAGGGAGAAACGTGCTAGGAGGAAGGCACGCTTGGCAAATTCACACCGTGATCAACTCCTGCCTGGAAACCTATGTCCCCACTGTGGAAGGACGTGTGGATCCAGAATTGGCCTCCACAATCACTTACGGACTCACTGTTAAGGCCGTGTTCATGGAAGACAATCTTACTCGACTACGAATGATCACCAAAGAAGAAGAAGATACAGCCAAAGTAAAAATATCCCATTTCATCTGCCAGAGTACGAGAAATTGACTCTGGAATACAAGCACGGCTCTGCTTTTTCACATGCCTAAAGACGTCTTTGCAAAAGCCCAAGGATTTCATTTTCCAAACCAGATTCAGGACTAGTTTTTCCCAGCCTGCACATGTTTTTCTGCAACTCACCGAAGGAGCTGTCAGGATTCTCTGACTATAGAAGGATAGACTGGGCAATCCTAACAGGCCTTTCCATGGATCTTAGGAAAAAACGGTAAGTCTATTAATCTAAGTGCGGCTCTGTTAGGAATTTGCCCAGCTGGAGCAAATACGGGCATACAATTTGACGGATCAGAGATGTGCAAGATTAACACTCTTTGGCCCTAATCCTCTTTAAGAGGCCTATTTGACCTGCTACAATATGTTATCTAGAGAAGAGGAGGACAGGCTTCAGTCCAGTGAGATCTGTTTTGTTTCTTCCCAGAACCCCAAGATGTACTGTATTTATTTTAGGTAAATATACTGCTCAGTTACTGAAGTCTCTGTCAGGAGCTTGTCCTACACTTGAGTAGGACCCCGGCAGAGACACATGACCGACTGGCATGTTCCCTCCCTCCTGGTCGATTGTTCAGGAGCTTCAAAAGCTTTCTTCTGCCCGAACATCACAGCGACCGATGCCAACAGACACTGGCACACTTAGGGATCCACAGAGTTTGTGCAGCTTGCTTAACAGACCTCAACAACTCAGCATTTTGGCTAATCTACTTTATTTACATATAAACATACACGGAGCACTTAAACATGGCTCCCTCTTTCTCTAGCGTCAGACAGTAAAGAGAAAGAACAAAGGACAATTGTCCCACTTCACGGAACACAGTAACACAAACATCCTGTCTCTGTCACTTCCCACTCTGTGGAGTCAAAACATATACCATCATGTGAAAGACAACAATCCCATGACTGCAATCACAGAGCAGGAATTCTAACAGACTCTAAGCGGTGTACATAGACATGCATTGGTGAGTCCTGGGGGTACCCAGACACACCATAATGTTTCAAAAAGCCAGGGGTCATGGCAAGGAGGAGATAGTGTCAAAGGGCAACCCACCCCCATCAGTGGTCGTGACCTGCAGGGAAGCAGCAGTGGGGGAGAGATGAAGGGAGGAAGAAGGAAGCAGACATGAGAGAGACGTAGGCAGAATAAAAAGGCTGGAATGGATCTGCAGCTTCTGCCTCTGTCTGCTTCTGCAAGCAGCAGTGGGAAGATTTGCTCCAGTGCTGGCAGTGAAGGATGAAGAAGAAGAAGTCAGGACTCAGCTACAATGGCAAAGAAAAAACGCTTTATATGCTCTGTTTATGCATTCTAACACTGTGACACCAGATGGCGCTGTGGAGGTCCGTTTTTGCTAACTCGATTTCTCCTACAAAGTTTACAACGCGTTTAACTGAAATGCTTCTTTGATGTGTCTAGATCCAGCCTCATTCTCCAGGACGAGGGCAATGGTTTGTCTTGGATCTTTGGCGAGTAAACTGAAAAATCACAGTTTTGGGGTGTTTTTGCAAGCAACCTTGGGATTTGTCTAAAAAAAAGCTGAACAACCTTCGAGTTTAAAAAAAAACCAAAGTTAAAAAACTTTCAGGGTGTCCTAGTTGTTTTTACTTTTTAAAAAATATGGCAACCCTATCCAAGACAGGCAGATGAAGACATCTGCTTTGATCAGTTTGGGTAAGCTTGTTATCTAGTTAAAGGTAAAGATCGTGAAAATTAACTGTACCTTTGTATACTTCTAGTTATCATTACAGAGATGTTAGGAGACCCTCGCCTACACAAGTCCCAGAGATTGATTGTTAAACCACTTTGGAAATTGCAGCTCTGCGAGAGGAACAACTCTCAGTACCCTTAACAAACTACAGTTCCCATGATTCCTTGGGAGAAGCCACGGCTGTTAAAGCAGTATCGTAGTGTTTTAAATGTGTGGTGCAAATGTGGCCTTTGTCACAAAATGCTCAGCAACCGGGAGTCAGGAATCCTTGCCGATCTACTACAAATCACCCAGAGACCTCTCAGCAGGTCCCAATGATCTAGAGAGACTTAGATGAAGTCCTCCCTAGAGTAGGTCCATGCTGTTCAGCAATCCACCCACTGCACATACCATAAAGCTTCTGTATCTCAGTCCGGTCATCCGCTTGCAGCTGGTATTGCAGTGGGTCTCCCACTGGTCCCTGGTAGTAGGGGCGCATGATCGAATGCTTGGAGGGTGAATGTGCCAGCCCGAGGCTATGGCCAAACTCGTGAACTGCCACAGCAAATAGGTCAGTGCCAAAATCATCTGTCAAAAGAAGAGCATGACTTATCGGGAGAATCACAAACACATTGCCAGGGCAAACCAACCACAGAATAACATTTGTAAAAAACAACAACCCATTCTTTGAGGAATTATAGGGACAGAACTACCTAAAATGTATAGAAACTTATTCATGTATGCAAGTACAGCGGGAAGAATGTTACTTGCCCAAATATGGAAAGAAGCAGAAGTCCCAGCAAAGGAAGATTGGATACAAAAACTTATGGAATATTCAGAAATGGCAAAACTTACTGGAAGAATAAGAAATCAAGATAACAAACTTTTTATAAAAGAATGGAAATGGTTTGTTGAATATTTACAAACAAACTGTAAACAGATAAGGATATTGGCAGGATTATTGTATTACCCTGCAGGTTTCTAAGAGTATATATTTAAAGAAGATGAATAAATGAGTAAATTAAGTTAATTTGGATATGCAGAAGATATTAAAAATAAATTTGAGGAACTGCAGAAAGAGGGGGAAGGAAGTCAAGTTTTGAAATGTCAGAATGATTGTAAAATTAGTGAAATGTATAAATTAGTGAAATGTATAAACTTGAAAAGCATAAATAAAAAAATGGAAACAAGAAAGAAAGAAAGAAGAAGAAAGAAAGAAGAGAGGGAGGGAGGGAGGGAGGGAGGGAGGAAGGAAGGAAGGAAGGAAGGAAGGAAGGAAGGAAGGAAGGAAGGAAGGAAGGAAGGAAGTCCATTTAGCCCAATGGCTTGCACAAGGCATACATGTCCATTCAGTATCAATCCAACCATGGCTGGGGTCACCAACCTTTTCAGATCCGTGGGCACATTTAGATTTTTGAATGAGTGTCATAGGCACCACCCCATGTGGTTACTTCTCCGCTCCCTAACCCCAGAGCAGCCCCCCACCCCTGAAAAACAGGAGGAGAGAAAGCATGCCCATAGAGACTAACTTCTCCTGTGCTAGAAGGAATCTGAGCCTTGAAAAGCACATAGGGCTGAAAGAGGAAGCTCTCTGTGATTTCGAGGAAAGAAAAGGTAACTGTCACCACTAAGAGAGTGGTGGGGAAGGGGCTCAGAGTCCTCACAAGCACCAGTGGAAGGCCTGAAGGGTCCCAGACAGGTGCAAAACAATCAAGAGCAGATGAACTGCTGAAAAGGTGTCTACAGAGCAAATGGTGCAAGGGAAGACTTCATCAACCTTCCCAATGCAACAGACACCAAACTCTGCTATCATTTCAGCACCGAATTAAATACCCAGGCAGTTTAAGTGATTCTAAGTGGATGACTATTTCGCCAGCTCTAGGGCCACATTCTAAAAGGGTGTTGGATGTCAATAAGATCAACCAACGGCCTGGTTAAAGGGGAACGTTTTTGCCTGGTGCCTAAAGGTGTATAGTGAAGGCGCCAGGCGAACTTCCCTAGGGAGAGCATTCCACAGACTGGGAGCCACTGCAGAGAAGGCCCATCTCATGACGTTACGATGATGTCCACTGATGATCAGTGCTGGCAAAGCCCAGTGCAAAGCACTTTGTAAGCCTCAACCATCAAGTGGATAGTGACTAAATATCCCAAAAGGAAATTGGGAAGACAAATCCGTCTTCTAGTTGTGGCAGTGGCCCTGCCTCCACTGCCACTGTTCCCCTTCTCTTTATGGTGAAATGCACCTTGACTCTTCCATCCCCAACCCATCATGCAAAGAAAGCCAAGTCACCTGGTGAACGGAACGTCCATTCCTCGTCGCCATCAAAGTGGACGTTGCCAGCCCTCTGAGGGTCTCCAGGAAAGAAGGCATGAGCGACCATTCCACCCGGCCCATCGAAAGGGTAGCCATCGCGGTGGTCCAGGCGGAGGAACTCCACAGAGATGTCAGCCGTGTGGCTGCCCACCTCATGAAAGTTCAAGGGTGTAGCTTCACTCCATACCTTCAAGGCATAATACATCAATACTCGCATGGTCTCTCGGCTGAGGCGGGCTTCCCGTGGGTAGGTCTTCACTCTATGTTGGAGAGAATGTACAGGTGGGAAGCAACCAGATCCCTCGCCTCTTTGGCCTGGACCAGACACAGAATGGAAGGTGGGGAGACCCTTCTTGGATCAAATCAAAAACTCGTCTAAGGGAAGGTCCATTGGTGAAGGCCCATCGCAGAGATCTCCTCCTGACCCCCTCACAGCTCAAAAAAAATGATTTGCAAGGAGTCTGTAATCCAATATTTGTTGAGGGATGATACTTCCGAAACTACCAAGATTGTTTTGGAGTACTTAGCTGAGATCTTGAAAAGCTAAAGTTGCCTGATTTATTCAATGGTTGCTCTTTGATATATTGTATGTATTTGGATTATTAATGAATTTGGATGACTTTGTATGATTTTATGATTTTGCTGTTTTAACTTCAGCCAATAAAGGCTAGTTACAAGTTACAAGTGAAGGCCCACATAGCGACCTGATAGTGTCAGGCTTTGGGGAGTTAGATCCCTCCCACTACCCTCAATGCCCACCAGGTCTTGGGAGAAGGGGGTCAGGAATACTTTCCAAAGACACTGAGTCTGTCAGCTGTCTCTCCCCTGGTGCTTCTTCTTCCTGCTGTTCCTCTTCCAACATTTCCCAGCTTCTGAACTACAGTATGCCCTTCTGCAAACCACTATTCTAAATCTATACTGTCCTCCTGTTCTCAGGAAGGTTCAGGAGAAGGGGGAGGCGGTCCCCACCATTTCTCCTCAGTTCAGCCCAACAGGTAGACTATCTAGCATGCAGAAACCCTTTCTTTGTTTTCACGTTTGTCATGCACCACCAGCTCACTTCATCTTTCAGGCATACCGAAACAAGGATGGGGACCTTGAAGCCTTCCAGATATTGCTGGGTTTCTATCAGCCTTTGCCAGGGCTGATGGGAGACACAGTGCAACAACAATTACTAGTGGGAAATGGAGCAAATAAATACATTAGCAATAACAATGCTGATACCTACCTCCAGGAAATGTTCCGCTTCGTCCAAACCGAGCCTGCGCTCCGCTTGCTCCGACTCTTCCTTCTCTTCCGCCTTTTCCTGCTCCTGCTCCTCCGCAGAGGAAGCTTTTCTGGGAAGGTGCTGATAACGTCGGGAAGCGAACAGCGGGGCATTCGGATCAGAGCCAACGTGGCATCATCTGTTTGAGTTCAAGGGAAATAGAAACAAGGGAGGGCTCTGTAATATGGTGCCATGAATGAGGACAACACACACACACACACACACAAAAACTTTGAGTAGGTACCAATATAAATATAGATGGTTGCTGTTGTTTTGTGCCCCCTGGGCTTGGTGCCCTGTGTGGGGGAACCACCCATGCCACCCTAAATCCGGCGTTGATAGAAATGTAGCTCAGAGTGTAGGACATCTGCAGTGCATGCAGAAGGTCCAAGGGTCAATCTCCAGGCAGGGCTAGGAGAGACTTCTGTCTGGAATCCTGGATAGTTGCTGTCAGTCAGTATAGACAAGTTAGATGGACCAATAGTCTGACTGTGGTGGCCTAGGACTCAGGCTTGGACTCAGAACCAGAGGAGACTCAATCTGCACCAGATCCTTTGCCTCAGGCATCATCTGAACCAAGTCTGGGGCCTGGTCCTGAAGAGTCCCAGTCTGCACAGGTTCCCCTGCAACAAACACCAGCTGGGCCAAGTCAGGGGCCTGAGCCTGCCCTGGCTCCAGATGTGGAGATTACCTCATTGCCTTCAGCTGAGCCATCACTTATAGCTGCTCCACTACCAGTTGGGTCAGAGGAGGCTGAGGCAGCCCCTGGGTCTAGTAACCCACCAACATCTCCCGAGCTGCAGAGACTAAGGTCTGAGAGAAGGAGAGACCTGAGTACTTGCAGGAGGAGTGCTCGCCTTCAGGTGAAACAGGGAGGTGAGTCGCCGGGGGATCAGGACCGGCTGCTACTCTGATAAAGATAAAAGACTGTCGGACCCCGCCCCAGGTTGCGGGAGCAACATTGCTATATGCCAGATCCTGCCTGAGATCCTGTACTTGTCCTTGCCTGGTTTCCTGCCTTGTGTCCTGCCTTGGCTCTGTCGGACTAACTCCTAGCGGAAGCTTTGGATTCTGTTCTGGTCCTGGACCACGTTTCATGGGTTACCCCCGGGCCCAGCAGTAGAAGCTTCCTATGTTCCTGAGGTCCAGCGCTGAGGGCCTTCTGGCGGTTCCCTCATTGCGAGAAGCAAAGCTACAGGGAACCAGGCAGAGGGCCTTCTCGGTAGTGGCGCCTGCGATAAATAACTACCTGACATTCAGAAGACATCTTAAGGCAGCCCTGTTCAGGGAAGTTTTTAATCTGTGATATTTTACTGTATCTTTGGTTTCTATGGAAGCCGCCCAGAGTGGCTGGGGAAACCCAGCCAGATGGGCGGGGTACAAATAATAAATTATTACTATTATTATTATTATTATTATTATTATTATTATTATTATTATTCCTAGTCCAGAATCTTGCCTCCCTCAAGTTTAGGGGTCACCAATATGGTGCCATCCAGATGTTAATAGACTACAGCTCCCATCATGCATATGTACATACGGCTGGGGCAGTTGGGAATGCACTCATCAGGAGGTCTCCATGCTGCCTGCCTGAGCCTAGTTTTTACCAAGGTAGGGAATCAGTGCCTGAGACTTACGGTACCACATCAGACTGCAGGCGAATGCTCACAGTTACATTTTGGGACCGATGAGTATTTGTTGTGTGCACACCCATGTAAAATCTGAAGTGGCTCAACCCGGGCACAGAGTTGGCTTGCATGCAGACGTTGAACCATAATTAAAACATAAACTGTGGTTTAAGGCAAATTATGGGTGTGCTCATACAGTGTGCTCAAACACAGCTCATTTTGCCCTCAGAGTCTGGTGTCTTCTGGTATCCAAATCTGGCCTTGTTTCCTCCAAACAAGCCGCAAGCAATAAGCCAAGAACAAAACTTGCGTTCCAGCCATGGTTTGTTTGGAGGGGAACAGACCACAAGTCTGGATTTGGATGCCATGATATTTAAGATTCTGATCATCTCTGAAAGCCCTCTGAAACTCATCAATTCAACTTGGCCTCAAGAGTATCCCATAGTGGGAAACTATGTGTAGTTTTATTCAAACAGGGTTAGGCAGCATGGTTTGGGACTACAATTCCCACCAGCCCCAGAGAGAAGGCCAATGGTCAGGGATGATGGAAGCTGTAGTCCCAAAAGTTGGTGGGCCAGGAATCACATTTACGCCTGCCTTAGAAGATTAGAGCTTTTGTTTTTTGGGGGGGTGCATATTCTGACCCCCACCCCCTGGAATTCTACTTTAGTCTAGCCTTTCTGAGCATAAATCCTGGTCTTATCTGTACTTGGATCAATTCCAGACTCAAGGGATTACATCTGCAGAGCTCACTTATACGGGATACAACTGGAGATTTTTGGAATCCAGCTTTAGAGCTGTTCATTATCTATCTGTTTGTTTATAAACAACAGCAAAGTTTTCTGGGCAACTATTTATCTATATAATAGAACAGAATGATTGAATAGAATTACAGAGTTGGAAGGGACCACAAGGGTCATCAAGTCCTGCAATGCTCAAATATTTTGTCCAATGTGGGGCTTGAACACACAACCCTGGAATGAAAAGTCTCATGCTCCACTGACTGAGCTATCCCAGTTGGGAGATCGATCAATCAATCAATCAATGACTATAAATAACAAACTATAAAGCAGAGAATAAAATCAGGGTAACGAAATCACACAGCAACCGCAGGAAACAATGAAAACTGATTTTAGATTTTAAAATTAGGAATTTAAAAGGGCTGGGCTGGGAGGGAGGTCTTAATCTCCTACCCGAAAGACCATAAAGTACCGTATTTTTGGCCCTATAAGACTCACTTTTTCCCTCCTAAAAGGTAAGGGGAAATGTGTGTGCGTCTTATGGAGTGAATGCAGGCTGCGCAGCTATCCCAGAAGCCAGAACAGCAAGAGGGATTGCTGCTTCCACTGCGCAGCGATCCCTTTTGCTGTTCTGGCTTCTGTGATTCAGAATATTTTTTTTCTTGTTTTCCTCCCCCAAAAACTAGGTGCGTCTTGTGGTCTGGTGCGTCTTATAGAGCGAAAAATACGGTAGGTGCCAAAGAAGGAGCCAGTCCAAGTCCGTGCAATGCAGAAATCTTTTACCCAATGCGGGGTTCGAACAACCAAGGGGGGACTCACAACCAAGAGTCTCATGCTCTACTGAAACTTCACATACTGGCCAGCATGCTGGTACGAGCTACAAGGTTAGTGCTTCAATACAAGTCTGGCGTGAACATAGCCGGTGATAAATAACAGGAACTAGAATTCTTAAGAGTTGCTTTTTAAAAATAGAACTATACCTGGAATCCCAGTCTCCGCAATGCCTGCAAAACGTTGCATTACACGAATGGCACTGGTTACTGCCTCCCAAGTCTGCAACTGGCCTGTTACGGGATCCGCTGGAGGAAGGTATCCATACTGGGTCAGCCACTCCTAGGGGAAAACACAATAGGTAAAGATCTCTGGTCAATGTAGCTTTCTCACCTTTCTTTCCAAGATCTCAAATCCTCTAACCAGCCTTTCTCAACCTGTGGGTCCCCAGATGTTCTTGAACTACAACTCCCATCACTAGCTAGCAAGGCCAGAGCTCAGGGATGATGGGAGTTGTAGTCCAACAACATCTGGGGACGCAGAGGTTGAGAACCACTGCGTGCCAAAGTCCTGTCCCTTTGTGTTATTTGTCTGATTCACGGATTCATTTGCCGGGAGCTGAAATCAATAGTCATGTCACCCCTGCCCATTGGCCAAGAAGGCCGAGGCTGATGGGAGTTGCAGTCCCAAATATCTGGAGGGGACCAAGTCAGAAAAGGCTAGAATACACCAGGCAAAAAAAAAAAGACCTGTCAAATCGAGCATCCTGTTCTCAAAGCGGCCAGCTATGGGAAGCCCAGAAAGTACCACATTCCAGTCTTTTAGGAAGGCTTTGAAGACTTCTCTGTTTCAAGTGGTTCTGCCCATTGATACCTATTTTGCTATGATGCCCTTTGACAAGAGTTGGATTTGTGGAAAATAAATTTCATAGTATCTGCTGAATGTGTATTTTATTACTCCTGGGTGGCAGCAGCAGAGCATATGCCCGCGCTGCCCAGGGCGGGAGTGCTCCCGAGGGGGGGGTGCGGGCACGGAAGGTGCCCTCCCAGGCGTGGGATAGCTGCTTGGGTGCATGGAGTGGCGCGTGTGCCCTGCAGCCAGGGGCGGAGCGAGCCGCCCATGGGGGTGGAGTGAGCCGCCAATGGCGGACATTCAGCACGCTGCCCGCCTGCGACTCCCAAGCCGTCAAAACAAAGGGGGAAGGGGAGAGTGCAGCCGGCAAAGTGGTGCAGGCACCCCCTTCCCCCGATGACTCGGGGTAGGCTTGAGAGTTGCACACCAAATGTCACCCCCCTCAGCGAAGACACCCGGGGCGGTATGCCCCCCCCTTCCTCCGCTCCTGCTGGGTTGTTGGTTTTTTTGTGTGTTTTTTTGTGTAGAAGGCGTCCTTTTTGAGCGATCTGGAAGGCGGCAACACGAGAACGGGGCCTTCTCTACAGTGGCTCCCCGCCTGTGGAATGCTCTCCCCAGGGAAGTTATCCTGGCGCCTTCATTATACACCTTTAGGCGCCAGGCAGAAACGTTCCTTTTTTAAGCAGGCCTTTGGCTGATCTGATTGACATCCTATGCCCTTTTAAAATGTGGCTCTTTGGGGGGAGGGCAGAGCAGGTGTTATTGGGTTGTTGTTTTTATTTTGATTATATATATTGTGGGTTTTATGTTGATCTTTTCTGTGAACTGCCCCGAGACCTCTGGGTATAGGGCGGTATATAAATTCAATAAACCATAATCATAATCTTGTCATATATATGTATATAAACACTGATGCATTTTGATTCATAAACTACTACGTAAGTCACCTTGAGATAGGGCTGCCATACATCCGGGTTTCCCCGGACATGTCCTCTTTTGGGTGGCCAGCATGCCTCTCCCAATGGATTTTTGTATTTTGTAATTATTTTTATTTGTAAAATTTTTGGGTGGGGAGGGGGGTGGCCAGTAGTATTTTCGGCGACCACCAGGCCTTCCACAGCCCTCCGTGGGCAATGCTAGGCCCAGTGGAGTCTCCAGAGGGCTTTCCTGGCACAGTCTTCCCGGGGCCGCTCACCCTCTCATCTTTCAGAGGGCAGGAGACCAAAGAGAGGGGAGGGGAGGAGGTGGTGAGCAGGCGGGCAAGAGGGAGGAAGGGGTCATTGGCAGGGAGGGGGCAAGCAAGGGAGCTGCAGGGCAGGGAGGTGCCCCAAACTTGTCCGGGTTTTGGGGCTCCGGATTATTGGAACCCTACTGTTATGTACTGAAGTTCTCACCCTGGGCCAGCAGGGGGATACTGTAGATAGTTTTCACTCAGGTCCACATATGCAAATAAGGAATTGAAAGTGACGTTCAGTGATTGGATAGTTACAGAAAGTCGTTACTGTTGTTTTGTAGTGGAGCTCTATATAAGCAGGTTGGCTGAACCCTTTAGTTCAGTTCTGTTCTGGCCTGTGAATAAACAAGAGCTGTTTGAAGAATCGCTGTGTTGTCTGATATGTTCACCCACAACCTAACACCTACCTTGAGAGGGTTTACTTGGAAACGTAGGGAGTGCATGTTTTAAAAAGAATCAGTAATCAATCGGCTTTCAGTCTGTTGCACAAATTTCCGTTTGAGCAAATGTTGCATTGGATCCTTCGGTTGCTGCACAACCTTAAAACTCACGCTAGCTGGCAGAGAACATAGGATCTGGGGTACCATACTCCAGGAACGACTTACCACAATTTCTCCGCTCTCATCAGTGGGTGTGGGCCCGGGATGGGCAAAGGATGGCAAAGCCAGAAGCAGCAGCAGCAGGAGCAGAACCAAGAACCCAGGGAAAGGTAGCAGCTTTGTCTCCTGCCTGGACTCCAGCTGGCAGCGTTGCTTCATGGGACGTTTCTTGGGCAAATGCCCTTTCCCAGTCTCCATCCAGTTAGCAAAACACGCTGCTTTGAGTAGGCTCCCCCGGCTCTCCAATTCTCCCAAGTCTAAAATGAACAGCTCCAAAAGCAGCCTTCACAATCCAGCCAATCTTGCTGATTTTGTTTGAAAGGCCTTGCCGTCAGCACCGATTCCACGCTGGGGATCTAGGAAAGCTGCCGTTTCGTTCCTGGGGGTGGGACGTGGGCAAAAATGCTTTTCTCCAGCTGCAAACATCACCTCCCACGCCAGAGCCTCAATGGTGGAAATGGCTGAAACAGAGAGAGGTCAGAGTCTTCCTATGGAATCGTTCAACAAGTAAACCAAACTAGGCGATGTACTTCTTTCTAGCAGTTAACATCAACATTTCCAAACTCATCCCTGCATCCCCATCCTTTCTCAAAGGAGCCCAGGGCAGCAAATACATGATTCTCACCTTTATCTTCACAACTAGTGGCGTGAGGAAGTGTGGAATGCAAAGTAAAAAAAGGCTTGTCCACACTCCCGTTTTTTCCATCATTTTCCCCTGGAAAAACCTGCTCCTTACCTCTGAATCTGAGCAAATTGATATTTGCTCTGGTTCAGCAGTAGCTACAGAGTGGGTTTTCCCAGGGGAAGGAAAGAGGCAAACAGAAAACCACTCAGACCTATGATTTTTAGGTACAGGACCAGTGTGGATGAACCTTAAATCAAAATGATCTTCATGAAAGGCCTTGTGCATTTTGAGAGCAGAGTGCTTAGTTTGGCTTGGACTGGGTAGCGTGTAGAGAAAGGGGAGATTTATAAGGGAAGAAAACTACAAGAGAGAAAGCTGCTGAACTGCAAGGAAATTTTAGTCAGAGGTGCCAGCACAGCTCTTAGCATATTATCCAGCAGCACTGGGACTTTTCACAGCATCCAGTAACAACACATGATAAAATATCAGGGCCCGGTTACAACAAAATCCTTTGTGCTTTTCACACTCTCTTATGTCTACTAAATGTTGTTAGAACTAGCTTATTTTACAAAGCAACAATGTGCTCCTTTTTTAAAAAAATTAAGGTTGCAAAAAAGAACTGCCAATAAACCTCCACTTTTGGTTTTATTTTGTTTTGTTTTTAGAGTTTGGGGAAGGTCCACAGTCAACAAGGACCGTAGGGAGAGAGAGCGATTTGCTTTTGTCCTGTTCTGCCTGTTGCTGCCGTCGCACCAGCAAAGATGGACAAAGAGAAAACCGGAGACAAGGCAAACAGACTGAGCCCGGAGCCATGAGATTCAGGGTGTGGTGGGCAGGGAAGCTGAGACCCCTTCCTATCTGCGTGCCCACATGCTCCCAGGCAACCTGTTTACTGAGCATTCATCCTGATTTGTTTGCAGGGAGATTAGATGGCATTAAATAGTCAGGGAGCAATTGCTCTGATTTGTTTGTGGGGAGGTTAGATGAGATTGTGTCAAAGGAAGTGGTTTCCAACACAGTCCTGCGCATTTCCCCAACACCTTTCTTAAGTGTTAAAAAGTCCCGTCTTATGCGAAGCACATTTGTTGCACAACCAAAAAACCGAGCAGTTTGAATTTGCTAGGATGTAATTGAATCCCACAGCAAATAAGCGAAAGTCTGACAGTGCCCACACTGTGTCCGCAGAGTCGTACACACACAACTACACAAACACTTAAAGATTATGAGTGAATGAATTGTTAGGGCCAACTCTGCACAGTCTGTGCCAGTCCCAAAAAACAGATGAGTTGATCCTTGGCAGAAACTGCAAAAGAACTGTTTCACCGCCTACCAACCCTTGCCATTTCTGCTCCCCAACTACAAGAAAACAGAGCTAGAGGTCACACAAAGACACCTAGTTTGGCCCTGTAGCTTTGAGCAATGGGTGGGCAAAGCACCCCTGATTTCAGAGACTGAACACTGGGGCAGCCAGCATGGAGTCCTCAAGATGTCTGTGCAGAGTGGGACTAATGGGAACTAGAGTAGGGCAACAACATCTGAACAGCACTCCTCTAGCTACTCCTGGTGGGGCCTTTTCCAGTCAGTTTTTCCCTCTCTGGGATTACAGGTACCTGGTGGTCTTTCGGCGGGTCATCGCCATTCTGAAACAATCATCCCTGTTCATAAAGGCCAGAAATTCCAGCACAGATTCATGGACCATGCATCTAGGAGATCTAAGGAGGAGTCCCTTTCGCTATCTGTCTGCCTCTGTTTCCCATCTGCAAAACAGGAAAATGACTGATTTCACAGGCTTGTTGCAAAGGCAAACCTATTGAGACTTTTACATATATAGTAGTAGTTGTTTTTAATATACACAGGGGCTCGCCTCATTCATTAGAGATTGGTACACACCCTGCCGATACTCTTAAGGAACTGTCTATTAGAGAGGGATGTTTCCCCTCCACCTTGACCAGAAATATCACTCCTGCTATTGGGTGTGTGACTATCATTTCCCAAGAAGTAAAGCAGCCATTCAGGCTCATCAACCCCCTTCCCTCATTCCCACAGAATTCGCTTTCCTCTCTTTCTGTCTTCTCCGGCTTCCAATTCGCCTCTTCCAACTGGAAGCACTTGGGGATTTGCAGAAGTTACCATCTTAAGATCCTAAAACGGGAGCTCTTACTCACGTGTTCAGAAGTGCCAACACGCTCCCCTCCTCCTGACTGGTCGCCCAAGAAGAACTTTGCTCCAATTCCGCTCTGCCTTCAGTGGAGGGAATCTGCCGGCTGATGCTCTCTGGAACAGGGCTGCTCAAACCACCCATTCCTAGCGTGGGGCTAAATCTCAGCAGCTGAGACCCCTCCCCATCCAATCCCACTCCATCCAAGCCAAGCCCAGCTAGCTCTGCAGAGACTCTGGCGGCGGCTGTAATCTGCTTTGCACAACTTAATAAACAGCTGCAAGCATCTCCTGCCTTTGCACTTAACTATTATTGCCTCTGGCTGCTGACTCCCTCCCTCTCCCTCTTTCAGGGTTTTTTTTTTATGCTTCCTTAATAGCCTAGAGATGGGATGCTGGAAGATTTCAGAGGAAGCGTATTTCAGATTAATATTGTCAGGGGCTATTTTCATGTTCTGTTCCTTGTGGTTATTTAAACGGTCAAGTATTTTGTGAATGGAAATGAATGCACACAGAGAGAGGGGTGAATATTTTGAAAGCATCAGAAAGCACCAGCTCTGCATCCTGAAAGGATGAAGTTAATCATTAAAAGAAAAAGAAAGAAAAAAATCCTCTGTGATCTTGTTGAGATTTTTGTTCAGAAAGCTACTCCCTCCCACATTTGCCTATCCTCAAACCTCGAGAAATACACCCCACTGTACATCAGATTATTTGGAAACTCAGGTGAGAAATCACAGTGTAATCCAATGGTTAGGGCGGATGGGGGTGTGTGACTAAAACCCCCATCTGGCCTAACCACTGGGCATACTGGCTTGCACTGATGGGAGGTGGGTGTCCAGCATCATTGAGAAGGCTAACCGGTTTCCCATCCCTAGGCTAAGCATTAGAAACTAACTGAATTGTATGAAATATTATGCAGGGTCACAATAAACATTTAACTTGACCGTGATTGCAGAGGTGGTTGAACAGAGAGGCCTTCTCATCCCTTCACCTGGAGATACTGAGGACTGAACTTGGACTTTACACTAGAATAAGCGGGGCCTCTCCAGTGCTCTTTCTATTAAAAAAAAAAAGACAGAGATTTTATTTTAAAAAGAAAAAGAGAGAAAAGGGTGCCAGTACTCACCATGAAGTTGTTGCAGTAAATGCCACACTTTTAACCTTTTTGTTTTAATTTAAAAAAAACACGGTGGTGCTGGTACTGCGTACTCTTGAGTACCCCAAGGAAAAAAAAGCACTGGGCCTGTAACAAAATGTTGCAGCAGAGTGCTCAGGTCAGCATTTCAGTCAGTCAGACGTGCCCTTCTCCAGGTATATAGCCACACAGTCAGTCAATATTGCATGGCCACGGAGCATGTCTTCATTGGGTTCTTCCTCTTCTAAATATTTTCTAAATATTCTGTATACTTTGGATTTTCCCCCAAATCTGCTTATACTTCCTCCTTGTGCACGAATGGTACTGTTTTGTCTACACAGGAAACCGCAATCACCTCTGAACATTGGAAAGAGAGGAAATAATGTATCTGCGTATGAGATATTGACCATACAAGAGAACGGGTGCACTGATTCCAATCTAAGATGTGCTCTTACATCATACGAGGAGTTGCACTGGCTAAGTCAGATGCAGCCTGCGGTGACATCATTTCCTGGGTGAATTTGGGACACAAGCTGTACAGAATCGGAAAGGGGGGCAGTTGGTCGTTCCTGGATTAAGATATTAGACACACCCTGGGCATTAGGATGGATGCTTTGGATGTATTACCTAGATATCAACATCCTCGTACCTAGATGTTGCTGTCTTCTAGGACAGTGCATAATAATAATAATTTACCTTTACCTTTTAATAATAATAATAATAATAATAATAATAATAATAATAATAATAATAATAATAATATACTGCCCTTAGGGTCTTATGGTGGTTCTTAAACTCCCCCTGCATGGACCCTTTGAGAATTGCAAACAGTTTTGGCGGGCCACATAACGATCTTTTTCTGCCTGTTGTAACCATTGTAACACACTGTGTAAGATGCTGTGTTATTTTTAACTGCTTCTTTTATTTCTTATATTGTATTTTGTATTACACTGTGAACTCCATAGTGCTCAAATTGTAAGTGTTCCTAACATACACTCCACCTGGATGAAGCTCATCTGTAAGGCCACAGCTTGGGAATCCCTGTTCTAGGAATCTGCCTATTTGAAGGAAGAGAGGAAAGAGAAAATGCTTCGTTCATGCTCTTTCAGTGACAGAACATGTGCATGTCAAATTCCTTTAAATCTCCATGCTGATTATGTTCACAAAGAGAGATGATTGTGATGAATTATATTAGCTTCCTAAATCGGCAATCTTTGTTCTAAAATGATCTGAGTTCCCCCACCATCATCACCACCACCTAAAAATAAAAAGCTGTATTGATTTCCAATCCACGTATATCATTTCTCGTTCCTTTTCTCCTCCTCTGCCCCGTCTGAAAATTAAGCCACTGGTTGGGTGTCCAGACAGTTTCCAGACAGTTTGGAGTTGTCATTCTGAACATGCAATCTCAGAATCAGGTGTTAAAGGAAGAGCACTTTGGCGTCCCTTTTGTCCTGTCTCCTTTTTTTGTTTGTTTTGACAATAATATTTATTAATTTCCCATGACATAACAAAAAGGGAAATATGCAACAACACAATAAAGAAGTAAAAAAGAAGAGAAAAGAATAACAAACTTAAAATACCTAAACAGAAAAAAAGAAACTCAATTAATTAAAATCCATTTTCATAAACATTTTCGTTGACTTCCTCTAATCTCCTCCATCTGAATTTCCTCTTAATTTGAATGTAGCCGTTTCCAATATCATTATTTCATAAAACAATATTACAGTCGTATTCCAGTTTCTTTACCTTTCTTATAGTACATTTTCTTATTTATATATTTAAATCTAATTTAATCCTAGGCCTGATTGGTTCTTTCAAGTGGTTACATATCTTTAATATTAGAGTATTTGTTCAAATAGTCTTTAAATTTCCTCTTCTTGGTAGTCCTCTTCTTTCTGGTTGCGGATTCTCCCGGTGAGATCAGCCAGCTCCATAAATTCCATCATCTTGTCCTGTCTCCTTCCCTTCCATTACTGGCTGCACACATTAACCCCCAAGGATGCCATGGCAACTGAGCAGACGCCTTTCGGGTGCCCTGGTAGTGAGACTCGGCTGGGGTGTGCGAGATTATTTAGGAAGTGATGGGGCCGGTGCTGCTATTTTGGGTGACAGGGTCAGCCGGGGCCTCGCTAAGCTCGGCCGCAGAACAATGCTGACTGACAAAGCAGCCATTAATCTGCTCGATGGCTTGCTCTGCCCAGCTAGACTGGGGGTCGTGGCCATGGTTACCGAGACTATGGGGCTCTTATTTCTCACTGGGCTCTCGACAGCGCGGGGAAGGGGCAGACACAAAACCCACCCCCAAATAATTCTTAAAGCAGATTGTTGAGGAAGCGATGAAATGGGGGCTTGCTTTTTGCCTCTGGGTGCCATCAGACTGGGTGGTACCGGATTGTGATACACTGGGTGGTCTTTTGAGGGAGACTGACTGAAGGACCACAGTAGGCAGGGATACAGTGGTACCTCAGGTTACAGATGCTTCAGGTTACAGACTCTGCTAACCCAGAAATAGTCCCTCGGGTTAAGAACTTTGCTTCAGGATGAGAACAGAAATCGTGCGGCGGCAGCAGGAGGCCCCATTAGCTAAAGTGGTACCTCAGGTTAAGAACAGTTTTAGGTTAAGAACGGACTTCCAGAACGAATTAAGTTCTTAACCCGAGGTACCACTGTAAAACCATGGGTTAGGGGTCTTGGGCCCCTTCCTGGACTTTTCTGTTTCTGGATTTTAAAATTTATTCTTAATCATTCTCATTAAAAGAAAAAAATATCTCCCAGCATCTCATCTCACTGGATCGTGAAATGCCAAACTAAATGCCTCATACTTTGACAACCTTGAACACTTTATGCAGGAACACAGAGCCCTGAGTGATGCCATATTGCTCCTGTTTTGGGTAAGAAGTCAAAGACGAAGAGTATATGATCAGTAAATTGCCAATATTATGACATTTTTAGCATGCCATATCGAGGAGCGCACAATTCCTTGAGATGACCAACAGACCACCTTTCATCTTGTGCAAGCGCTCTGAAGGTAGTTGCTGTAGGAAAACAGAGCACTTGACTAGATTTACAGCAAATTCTTTTCCGTCTCCTTATTATGCCTTGTGCATTGCTCAAGGAGCTGCAGGAGAGAAAACTGAATGGACAAGGAAGTGGCAAAATGCCCAGGACATAAGCGGCATATGAGTCACTTCCATCGTACCCATATTTTGCTACAGCATAGCATGCCAATGTTAGCAGAGTGCTATTAACAAAGGCAGAAGCCAAGCTCATGGGGAGGGGGGCGAGCATGTAGTGGAAAATATACATCTGGCCTGTGTTTGGAAATGCCTCCAAATTTCTCGAATCTCATTGTACTGATGGAGCACCAGTTGGCACTGCTTTCAAATAAACTACTATAGCTGTAGCACAACCTAAGGAACGTCCTTTGATGTTTTGGGAAGAGGAGGCACAAACCACCAAAGCAGGGTGTGTGTTTATGTGTGTGCATTTATGACACTGCTCACTCAGAATTTTGATACTGTGGATGGGGCCATGGCTATCCCAAAAGAACAGTGTTTTGCAGTTGCTTCTTGCGCTGAGTAAGGAAATACATTTGCTCTTGCCCTACAGCAAGCAAGCACAAAAGCTGAAGAAGTGATGGAGGGAGAAAGAGAGAGCATCTGTGGAAAAATGAAGGCCAGAAGGTCAATTCAGTGCCTGCCTATAAGGTCGATTCAGTTGGCAGGCAATAGAGACTGGACCTTTTATGTGGTGGCCCCCAGAGAATGGAACACCTGCTCCACAGAAGGGTAGATGGACCTCAACTCTTAATTTATTTTTACTTAGTTATTACGTTTATATACTACCTTTATCTTCCAAGGATTTCAGGGTGATGTACATGGTTCTCCTCTTCCTCATTTCATCCTCACAACCCTATGAGGTAGGACATGCTAAGAGATGGTGACTGGCCCAAGGATTCCCCATTGATCTTCATGACCCAGTGGGGATTCGAATCTTGGTCTCCAAGGTCCCAGTCTGACATTAACCACAATGGCGTGACCTCGCTTTCATATGAATAAAACAACAAAAAAGAAAACCAACATGTTATGGAAGTCTCCGTCCTAACTAACAGGTAGCCTCTCTCTTTAAACATTTCT